ATTTGTATTAACATAGATACTTTTATTCCGACATAAGATCTCATTGATCTTATTTAAAAGATTTTATTGGAACAAATATAAAGATAAACATTCGAAAAATAATTTTGTAAATTTTTACTTATTAGTGAATACATTTATAAGAAATGAAAATATGGTTACAAAATTAATTTGAGTAAATCTAATACATCTTATCGCGAAACTCGAGATTCGTTATTTCACATTTTATCGATGAAATTGTAAGCTTGGTTAATAAGACCAGAGCCAAATAAAACGCCACATAAAAGGCATAAAATAAAGTCAGTGGCAGAAAGTTGCACTTAGAATAATCTTGTAAAAAATTGGTAAAAATGATGGTACTCTATCTCCCTAGGTATATAACCACGTAGTGAATATTCCTTTTTTCTTATTATTAATGTAATTACGATCTTTAGAAGAATTAAAGCTAATCCGTGATAATGCTGCAACGACAACAACAAATTTTTTATTTCATTGAAAATAAAAATCTTTACTTTATTTGCAATGCACTTTTGTTAAAAATGTAAAATGTATATTTAGGTATATAATACGTATATTAATTTTAATTTTATTTTGGAGGTAACGAGGATGTCTTAATATAGATATCCGAGATTTTATGTCTCATTGACGATATTTAATTGAAAATTTTTTGTTTGCATTAATAATATTTAGTTAATAATTGATATATTGATTAAATATTGAAACATGTTTAATTATTTTATATGAATTAAAATCATTAATAATGTCGTTCGTAATTTTGTGTTTCAAGTAAAATTTAATCATATTTCCTCGTTTAAGTTTTATCACTGTAACAGTTTCTCTTGATTCTATGGTGCAAAAGTTTTCCGAGTCCTTTCTTGGCAGCAATTTCCTGTGATTCTCTACGTTCTCTTTCGCCTCTTCTCATGTAACGAAACGTTTTATTCCTTGCACGCCTGCTCTAGTAACCCTTTAACTAACATCCGGAATACCAACTGATTCTTCTTGTTTAAATGTCAGTTAGATACGCTGATACGAGGAAATGCCAAGTTTCCCTTTTTTTCAAGAATTTCTTGACTAAAGTGGTATTAGATCTATAAAAGAAATGTAATAAATATATTTATTATATTTTGTAATTTATATTCTAAAAATATTTTATTAATCTTTTAAAAATGATTATATGTAATTAAATTTATTTCATTTTGCTTTAAAAAAGAACGGTTTTGATTTTTTTTTTATAGCTTTTGACAGAATTTTATTTCGCAATTTTTCTTATACGTGTATATACATACTTCAATATAGAAATAATCTAATACTTTCGTTTGACTTAATATATGCCGAGCCAATCTTTTGTAAGGAAAAATTGAGCATTCATGGAAAATGTAAAGTATGGCTTTTATAGAAGTTGATATATGTTTATGAATTTATTCGATCGATCGGAAAAGTAAGCGATTATACAGATTTCATAGAAAAATGATATTTTATTTCTTCCCATGAGCTCTCAAGCATTTGTTCATTAACGTTTTAACTCTTCTTTAAGGACGGAATTTGCATAATAATGTAGTATTTCATTTGCTTTGTATATTACGACTACTTTGAAGGGAAATAAATTACGTTTATTTCGAAATAATTGTAATAAAGGTTTAATTGAAATTATAATCGGATGGTTTCCGCGTACTTACTAATTTAAATGAAAGCAATCATAACATAACAAGTAGTTTCGATTAAGCTTATTGTGCTACAAAAGACGTTATTATGTTTCGAAATACATAGGCAAAGTGTTTTACTTGATCGCACGACAGAATTTCCTCTCATCCTTATTTCATGGAAATTACTTTCAAGCGCCTGGTTTCGAAGCGTCTCGTTGACGACGTAAATACCGTAATGCAATTACACGACGATATGGAACGAGAGCTACGAATGGATTTCATTTTACGCATTTTAAGAAACGTGATGCAATTATCACTAGGTGCGCGGGATTTCCTGAACATTTGCATATGAGACACTCAATTACTGATATGAGATTGCAAGTGGGTACTTATACGAGAGCTTTTAAAAAAACTACGATTTAAGAGATAAACGTTTATGATTCGTTCTCTCATTTGCCTCTCTCTAGGTACCTAAGTTATGTTATTGCTTTAATACAATTGTTATAAGCATTCTCTTTTAGAAACAGGTTAAATTTCATATTTTTTTAAGATATTAAAACGCGAAAATGTGGATTGCAACTGGTATTTCTTAACGCATTTTAGACTATATTTCGATGAAAAAGAAACGTTTAGAATATTCCGCCGGAAGAGAAATGCGAAAAAGAAGAAGTATTATGCCAAAACCCAATTCAGTCAGCTTCCGTGGAGTGCCCCGAGAATATGCGTATGCGTTTTACGATAAAACGCCATTTCCAGGCATCGCAAGTACACTCTGCCACTCTTCGTAGATGCTAGAAAATAAAAAAAGTGCTTTATACGTCAAGATATAAACCTTACACGCAACTCTGCGTTAACTTAACAATGAGAGATAGTTATAACTGTTAATGGTCGGCATTTATCTATTATTTTAAGATGTCGTTTACTGAGTATATCTGTTTGAATAAGCTATTAAAATTTTATGTAAAAGTTTACGATGAATTTTTGAATGTTACAATTTCAATTTCATATTTATATGCTGTATGATCGAAAAATCGAAGTAGAGTATACTTTGTGACTAACTGTGATTCGAGAAGCTTATCATTGATCCTGGTTTATCCAGCTTAGAGGATGGAAATGGTCTTAAGTGAAGTCTGAGCAAAATCGTTACTGGAAATCGTTCTTTATTAACCACTTTAATGGATTATCTTTGGAGCGAAATGTCCACATAGCTTAAGAATGTTGTAGACTTTTTGTCACAAAAAAGTTCGTTTCCGAAAATATTGAAAATCAAGCTGTCACTTTCTTTGCGTTTCACCAAGACAGTCTAAACAGGTTGAGAAATATACTTGCAATTCGTATTGCGTTTACGACTGGAAGTTTCATTTAGTGAAGAAACCCGAGTCAGATACTTTGCTATATTGACTTGAGTTAAAATTTTATAGTCCGAGAGAAAAGATATCTCTCCAATACATATATAAGAGAAGACAAAGTCTCAACATTTACGAAGTTATAGCTATGATGATAAATTTGATTTAATGGAATGATAAGATCTTTTCAACTCCTTTCGTTATTCTTTTTCAAACCTTGGAGAATTCTAGCCCAACTCGTTCCCAATGGAGCATTTTATACTCTTCGCCCATTTTTGACACTCCACTAACCTCGAATTACCGATAGCACCTTAACCATTAGTAACTTTGAGTGGAAAGTAAGAACAGATATATTTTTCAAAATTCTTTGATGACATAAAGTTATGTAACTGATACTGTTTTTTTTTATTTTTCCAATAAAAGTTTTTTGTAAATTTATTTGTTTACAAATGTAATTATCGGAGTACTTAGAACGTAATAATATATAACAGAATTAGCGAAAATTTATTATTAATTAATTTGAGAGAGAAAAAGAGAGAGAGAAAGAGATTTGTACATATACTTCAGTAAATAAAGTGTATTTTCTTGTCGAGAATAATATTTAATATATAATGACTAAAATATACTATATATATATATATATATAAAATAAATATTTATTAAGAAAATACGATGGATGAATGGAAATTGTTAGCTGGAAATTGCGGCTGATTTGAGAGATAGATCGAGAACAAAATTGAAGTAGAAAACTGTGGGTCGAGCTGACAGAGATAAGTCAGATGAAAGCTTGCACTAAGATAATAGGCATCTTTAGAGTAACTAAAAGTGGAGATCGGAGAATCAGCTTGATCATGAGTGATTGGATATGTTTCTGACGATCCCATTTTCTTTAGTATTACAGACTAATTTACAGATTAATTTAAAAATTAATTTGCTATATAAAATTGCAATTAAATGTTATATTGATATAACAAAATTATTTAAAAAATATATTAATTTTATAGCATAAAAAGTCGAGGTCATAATAAAAAAATCAATATAGTAAAATAAGATTGGTTATAACTTATAACTATATTACAATTGTTTTATTCTGTATCTACACTGTAAAAAATAAAATATTAATTTTAACTTGTAGTCTTATATATATTAACATGTTTGTGTTAATTTTAATTTAATTTTTTTGCATGTCTCAGAAAGTCTACTATACAACTATAAGTTAAAATTAACATTTTATTTTTTACAGTGTATCAAAAATTACTTTTCGAAAAAATGAAATTATATCTGATTAACGATTAGTTGATTATTTATGAAATAATTATATTTGCGGTTTATTTAAATTTATTCGTAAAAAAATAGAATGGTTTCAGAAACTTTAAGTTGGTTGTTGCACCATCTGTGCCAAAAATATGCGCGTTACTTTAAGTACCTAACTACTGTTCGTTTAAATTACGAATATACTGTATTTTAAATCGAAACCATGCCATTCGATATTTCGAGCGTTTCGAACCGGAAAATTTTTGCGACATGATTCAAATTACAGATCGATGCTGTAGCTGTTTCGTAGCAAGTAGGAGCAGTATGTAACAGTAGTATGTAGACGCGCACCCTGCGTCGACTATTACGTGGTGCCATGAGACTCCATTCTCGACAAACGCTTCGCGGCAAGCTGAGGAGAGGATTAAATTCGAAAAAAAGGAATAGGTGTTAGCGAAAGTATACATGGCAGGTGGAAATGTGGAGTAGATTCGAGGATGAACGCCAAGAGAGAGAACACAATTCGAGGTGTCGAGTACCAAAGGACCGACCGGAGGTGCCACGCTTCGCAGACGTCCCTAGTGCGCAAGGGCGTTGGCGCTGACGACGGACGGTACTGGAAGTGTCGGGAGTGTGGGGTCTGGGAGCTTTGGAGCTTCATGGCGGGGGTGAAAGCATGAGGGGGATGAACCGAGTAGGGGATGGTGTTGAGGAAACCGTGGGGTGGGACAACCGGAGACGACTGTGCTCCCAGTCGCTCAGTCCGCGCCCCGACACGCAATCACACGCACACTTCTTGTTCAAAGATGACGGAGTTTTCGTCGTTTCGCGCTCGGGTATTTTCAAATTAATTCGTAATTCCCGCTACCGCGTATCTCAGATCAGTTTCTGGAACTCTTCATTATCTTCGTTATCTTCTTCGTTCACCTTCAATGATATCCTACGTTCGGTGAGTACGATGGTTGATAGATAGTGTCTGATCTATGTAAAGAAAGTAGAATTCTTGCGATGCGTTTTGTGCGACAGCTGTTGTAGAAATTCAGGAAAGATTTTCCAACTTTTGTAGTACGTATTTCTTTGTTACATCGTTGAAATGGTTGCGTTTATCTTCAATGTAGCAATCTAGAAATATTGCGTCGCATTAGTGGGAAATTTATCATATAACGCGATGAAGCACACATAATCCGTTCCTCTTTCATCTTCGTCAAAATCTTGTGTTACTCTGTGAATTACCCTCGTAATTACAATTGCCATACGTCGTCTCTAGTTTTCATCTTGCTAATGGAAAAGCCGGCGAGTTTACTTTATTCTCAAAAAAAGAAATGAAACTTCATGTTACGTTAGTGAAACTCTTCTAATTTCGTGTGCGTGCGTGCATGCGTGCATGCGTGCGTGCGTGCGTGTGTGTGTGTGTGTGTGTGTGTGTGTCATGTAACAAGAATTTTAACAGAAATTGTTAAACAAATCGATCGAGATTGTTCGATTGAATGACAGTTTCTTCGTGTAGCATTTTTAAACCGTACTATATGTACAGTTATAAATTATAAAATTATGATATAAAAAATACATACCTTCTTAAAAATTAATCCAGTTATCTTTTTTACATTAGTTTATAATTGCTTTATTGTAATTATTTTTTAAATATATAATTGACGATTATTTATTACTTTTTTATAACAATTTGAAATCTTAGAGAAGACTTGGCATATTTTATATTTTTAAAGAAATACGAATTTTTCTTTTCTATATGTTAAGTATTAATATTATAAATTGTATGAATTTTTGATAGCTGCACTTTGTTCCTTGTTGAAAACAAATATAAAAAATAAAAATACTACTTATTACACATAAACGCACAATATCCAAGAGTAATGTACGCTCATCTATATCATATCTTTTCGTACTGTGTTGCTGAAATCTTGAGAGAAAAGCTTAATCTAAAAAGGATTAATCCGCATTCAATTAGTAAATTTTTGCTGAAGGTTGAAGTTGAGAGGTTCACGATAATAGATCTTTTATTAAATATTTACAATATAAAGATGGGACCAAAGATATAATAATTAAATATATGTATATTTACGATGTTTTATAATGATGTTTTGCTATACAAATTTTAAGTTTTTATATCAAAATTAAACTTCTTAACAAATCTAATTTTACATTAAGAAGATAGAAATTATATATGATCGGATATTAAATCTTAACGAGAATAACGAGAAAAAAAGGGATCATTCATTGCCGAGCAATAAAAATGATGAGATAAATTGTTTAATATATTTTATTATATTTTATGATAGAATGAACATACGTTGATAAAGAAATATTAATAAAACAAAAAATGTTTTAATTTCTGTTTGTAATCAAATAAAAACAATTATCAGATTGTCTTGAAAATTATTGAATATAAATTTTTTTTACAATACTTATGGATTTGTAAAAATAAAGTATAAGTTTTAATAAATTAACAATACTTGCAAAATGTTCATATGAATGAGATTCTCATTAATTTTCTTGTAAAATATTAATCATATATGTATCTTCAATATTCCTATCGATGCTTTTATCAATATACTTGACAACTTTATAATATACGCATATTTCTGTCCTATCAAATTCTAGAATGTATCATATTTGCACACCAAATACGCATAAAATATGCAAAGATACATCGATATAAAAGAGAAGAAAGATAAAATAAGCAAATATAGCTGATATTGACGAAAGTTGATAATTACAATTATAATTAAATTTGTTCTGGATTTAAATGTAATACTAATATTTCAGTGTCTTTTTAATTATGCAGAGAAAATTTTCTATAGGAGAATTAGCCATTACTAAAATTGAAATTTCTTATATTTATGATTTCATATATGGAATAGTAATGCAACATTTATGCTTATTTTGATTATTAGTGAACTTTTATGATCTTACACACACACACACACACACATATATACACACACATACACACAAAGTTTGAGAATATTATTAATGAGCTAGTTTGCCCACACATTAGCTTGGAAGGTCTCTGCCGCTTATGGCTTCAAACATTGGTATTCGTTGCAGAAAATCCATTTGCTAATTGGAGAGTTCTGCCATTTACGAAATCAAATATGAATGGCGAGTAAGATTGGTTTACAAATTAGCATTTCGTCGCTAAATCACATTAATGAATTACTATTATGCATCATCAATCAGATCCATTGACATACATGTGTTGTATAATTACCGTATTTGGATTTATGTGCATGCTGCCCTAGACCTACAAGTATTTATCACGTATAGAATTTCTTTATACAAAAGATTAATGTACAATAAAACAAACTTTTATTTCGTAATAAGAAATAAAACAAAATTTTTATATTTCGATATAAGAAATAACTAACTCTACCTATATGTTATCAAAAATTATAATTTTTTTTAAGCTTACATAATCTTTTTAATAATCTCATTAATAATTAATTTTATGTTTGAATCGTATTTATTTGTCTATCGATAAATTTAAAAAATACGCGAAAAAAATAATATTTTCTTACTTTTTATATCTTTACAAAAGTCTTTATTATTTTACTTACGTCTTAAAATGCAAATGTTCAGTTTTGATTCATTTTTACGAGCTGACTGTAATTTTATGGACGGTTGGCAAGCATGATCCCAAGAGTAAGCCAAAAACTTTCTTGAAGCTGCTTTGGAGGACTCGTCTCTCTGCTGTCCAAACTTGATTCATCTAACTTCGCTCGATAAAGTTTGTCACCGGAAAAGACATGAATTTTGTTATTGATGCAAAAATTTGAAGAAATCATCTAGCATGTTTGCAGTTTGTTATTTCGATCAAAAGTTTACGATAGAACGCGACAGCTGTTTCAAAAACGTGACGTTACCAATGAATGACGTCAGCTTGTTGACTAAAAGAGGAGAAAACGTGGATTTTCTGGTCAAAGGCCATGAACATCACAAAGCAAATCGTGGAGAGTGCATCGACGGGTTATTATTGAAAAAGTTATATAATTCACCCACGCGTTATTGACAAAGCCAATTCATATTTCCTCCCCTACTTTGGTCGAATATTTTAATTGTCGACAGCCTTTCTTGTTCTTCGCCTCATTGTACTTTCCTTTGTGCTAGTAGAGCTGGCTTAATTAAACTTTCTACTTATTCTTCGTTCGTGCAGAAAAATCCATATAAAGAGAATAGTCCATGTTGTGAGTTCAATAACTTCAAAGATTTATTGCTTACATCGTGACCTTAATTGCCGTAGAAAACCGAAATAAGAAATTCTTATTGATGTTTATAATATTATTCTATATACGACTGATTCACAAAATAGAAATTGATTATCGCTGCAGAATTAATCGGTTTGAGCATTTAGACTGATGACAAGAAATAGGACCAGAATTATTGCGCTTAAAAAGAATACTTAGTCTATACTTATGATCAAATCGACGAGAAAAACGAATCGGATCGGGGCCAGGTTCTGAAAGCGGTACCGCAAATTTAATTTTTAATAACGAGTCTGGATTTGTACAATCTCTTCTATATCCTCTGCTCGTCTTTTGCTTTCTATATACCACTACTTGAACGATTCTCTGCAAAAAAAGATTATTATCGTATGACCTAGATTGCTTTAGTATGCAGGTGACACTACTTGGGAAAGAGAAACTCAATTTCTGAAGAATACGTTCGGGCATGATGTTAATCTGTAAGCTATTTCTCTCGAATAAATAAGATTATCATTTATGCTTTGTGCATATCTCGATTAACACCTGAAATATTCAAACGGTAAAATATAAAGTAAAATGTTTCAACTTAAAAGAAAATAAAAAATTATGTAACACAGATACTTTGATAATATTTTACTTACAATATTGTAATATTTAAATTAAAAATATATCATAACACGGGATGTAATATATTAGAATAATAATTTGATTTATTAATTAGTTTTTCAAATTAAAAATTCTGTAAAGCTTTATCCAATACCTAACACGCTTAGTCAGAGTTATTGATAATAACTGATCCGCTTTTCAAGTTTCTCCTGGGTTATCAATTTGGATTATGTAATCTAGAGTAATAATTTAACGTTATCGAAGGATTGGAAATTAGCTGAGGGAAATGAGCCACTCTGCCTTGTATGAAATTTATAGAATTAATAAACGATGGATTAATTGTAGGTAAAAGAATTTAAAAAATTTAAAACAATTTGTAACATTTAACAAAAAAAATCTTGTGTAGTTTATTTTTATCATTTTTTAAAATTATTATATTTCTATTATTTTTTCAACCTAACCAATTCGAGCTTTTATTTTTTACTATTGTATTTATTGATTCTTCTTTAGACAGAGAGTTAAATTTGTCTTATTTTTAGATCGAATCAATCTACACATATATATTTTCCATTATTGTTTTCGTGAATATACAACATTGATCAAATTTTGTTTTATATTTAGAATGCTGACAGGTTTAAATTGTACACAAATCGTATTTACGTATTCTACGTGCACCTATATTAAATGTTAAAATACCTTATATCAAATTTGTTTAAAAATAATATTGCATTTGTGCCCATGCGCGCGTGTTTGCATGTGTTGAGACTTTTACACAATTGTGTGAATATTAAATAATACATTGAATAAATCTTTATTGTAAATTATAACAGTTAACGAAATGATTGTGTTAGAATTTTATTTTTAAACAAAGTACTTATTCTTAAAAATATTTATGAAAAAATTTTCGATATTTAATACAGTATTTTTACAGAACGTAATTGATTTAAAATTAGTAAAAAGATTATATAATAATTTAATATATATAAAATTATACTACAAACTTATATATAAAAAAATTAATAAGTTTTAGATTTTGTAAAAGTATAGCTTATTTTATTCTATGATAGTTATATAAATAATATATTATTATTAATTTTATATACAGTGCAGTTTTTATAATAAA